TTCATAAATGATCTAGAGGATGGTGTGGATTGCACCCTCAGCAAGTTTGTAGATGACACTAAATTGGGAGGAGAAGTAGATACGCTGGAGGGTAGGGATAGGATACAGAGGGACCTAGACAAATTGGAGGATTGGGCCAAAAGAAATCTGATGAGGTTCAACAAGGACAAGTGCAGAGTCCTGCACTTAGGACAGAAGAATCCCATGCACCGCTACAGACTAGGGACCGAATGGCTCGGCAGCAGTTCTGCAGAAAAGGACCTAGGGGTTACAGTGGACGAGAAGCTGGATATGAGTCAGCAGTGTGCCCTTGTTGCCAAGAAGGCCAATGGCATTTTGGGATGTATAAGTAGGGGCATTGCCAGCAGATCGAGGGACGTGATCGTTCCCCTCTATTCGACATTGGTGAGGCCTCATCTGGAGTACTGTGTCCAGTTTTGGGCCCCACACTACAAGAAGGATGTGGAAAAATTGGGAAGAGTCCAGCAGAGGGCAACAAAAATGATTAGGGGACTGAAACATATGACTTATGAGGAGAGGCTGAGGGAACTGGGATTGTTTAGTCTGCGGAAGAGAAGAATGAGGGGGGATTTGATAGCTGCTTTCAACTACCTGAAAGGGGGTTCCAAAGAGGATGGCTCTAGACGGTTCTCAGTGGTAGCAGATGACAGAACAAGGAGTAATGGTCTCAAGTTGCAGTGGGGGAGATTTAGGTTGGGTATTAGGAAAAACTTTTTCACTATGAGGGTGGTGAAACACTGGAATGCGATACCTAGGGAGGTGGTGGAATCTCTTTCCCTAGAAGTTTTTAAGGTCAGGCTTGACAAAGCCCTGGCTGGGATGATTTAGTCGGGGATCGGTCCTGCTTTGAGCAGGAGGTTGGACTAGATACCTCCTCAGGTCCCCTCCAACCCTGATATTCTATGATTTGCATATGAGCAGGACTTCCCTCCAGGGTTCTGGGTCTCCTCATGGCCTGCCTGCCCAGAGGGAGAGTAAAGCCTTTCTGGGGTCCTGGGTCAGAGCAAGTGGGGGCCCCTCCCCACCCCTTCTGCCTGTAGTTCCCCCCCCCCCGCATGCTCTGCTAGGGAAATGGAGTCGGGGCAAGGAGAACCCATTTTTGTGGGGTCCCCCAACTGGCCGTGGTCCCTGAGCAGCACTAATCCGCTACTGACCCCCCACAACCCAGCCCTGCAGCTCCCTGCCCCCCCGCCCGTCCCCCACAACCCAGCCCTGGAGCTTCCTGCCCCCCCCACAAGCCAGCCTCAGAGCTCCCCCACCCCCTCCATGGCCCAGTCTTGGAGCTTCCCCGTGCCCTCACCCCCCAACACCCCATGGCCCAGGTATGGAACTCCCTGTGCCCTGGCACCCCCACATAGCCCAGCCCTGGAGCTCCCCATGCCCCCCCTGCACGGACCAGCCCTGGAGCTCCCTGTGCCCTGGCCCCACCCCACATGGCCCAGCCCAATCTGGGGGTGGTCCAGGATCGCTCCCAAGGGCCCAGCCGGTCTCTGCCTCACTGCTGGGCCTGGGACACATGGCCTGAGACCCTCATCCCCACGTGAGGCCCCCCGAGGTGGGCACGGTGTCTCTGCCCTTTGCCCATAGCCGTAGCTGGGAGGCGCCACACAGATCCCAAGCAACCATGTTCACCAGCTACGCAACACCGCAGGCCTGGCCGCTCACCCAGCGCGTGCCCCTACAGGCTTCACCAACTGGTCAAAGGGATCCCAGCCAATGCCTGCACGCTACCGATGGGGCCACCCTTCACTCCCTGCTGCACAGGCTGGACTCATGCTGGGCCCTCCAGCCCAAAGGCTCTGTAGCTCCCTGGCCCTGAGGCAGCCAGACCCCCAGCAAGGCACCCGAGAGAAGGAGGCTGGACAGCTCAGATCTGGTGAGCGGACACAGGCTGGGTCTCCCCCGAGCCCCACACCTGTCTGCTAGCCTCCACCAAATACCCCCTGCAAGCCAGTGCCCCGCCTGGCTCCCTTCACCAAAGTGCTGCCGAGCACAATACAACAAAGACCATCGCAGCGGACGCTGCAAAACCAGCCTCGCACAAACCTACCGGCCGAGGGCCGGGGCTGGAGACCCAGAATCCAGGACACACTCAGCATTGCGCAGGCTCCCAGGTCGGTCCCACGCTCGGCACCAAAGCAGGCAGTCCCTCCCAGGCCTGTCGCTTAATGACACTGCAGCGGAGGAGATGCAGGTTTCCTTGGAGTTCCCTGCCCAGCCAGGGAGCGCTGCCCGTTGGGGACGAGGCACCCAGAATGAAGAGCTGGCATCTCGGCTTTAAACGGGAAACCCTGACCCGGGGTGCCATGAGCACAACGTCCAACTCTGCTGGGTGGGTCTGTGTGTCATAGGCCCCATGTGCAATGGTGAGTCTCCTTCAAGGGTCCTGGGGTTTTGGAGCAGGTGCTCTGAGTTCCACCATCCCGATCCCCCCACCTTGGCAAAGCTGGGATAAGCTCGTGGCTGAGGCGTCTGTGTCCTGAGCCAAACTGTGGTGCCCCCAGGCATCGGACTACAGGCCCTGTGCTGGGCCAATGCTCTAGCATGGAAGCTAGGCTGGGCCTAGGAGAGGTGGCACCTCTGTGTTCCCAGCTTGGCCAGGCTCAGGGGGCTGACTGTCTCTCGCCCCGGTGCCGCTCTGGCTGCCCTGGCTTGGAGTCGCTATCTGAGGCCAGCAGCCGGTGGGCACCTTGCAGGGTGTGAGCCTGGCAATGCAGCCAAGGGGCCATGGTCACATGATGCCAGCTCCACGTGGCCCAATAGGGGCAGCTCCCCTGGTGCAGGACGGTGCGATAAGTGAAGGGGGAGGGGGGAGCTCCCTTTTATGGACACCCAGCCAGCTAGTTAGCTACAAAATCCTTGTTAGTAGCTGTTCTCTATTTGCTCTACCTGTAAAGGGGTAAAAAAGCCCATAGATAAAGGAAGGGAGTGGGCATCTGACCAAAAGAGCCAATGGCAAGGCTAGAACTTCTTAAAATTGGGAAAAACCTTCCCCTTTGTCTGTCTGTCTGTTGTTCTCCGGAGAGAGGAGACCCGGAGCGGCAATGTAAGAAGCTTTAAACCAGGTATGACAAATCATCAAATCGTTCCTCAAACCTACTTATCTGAAACCTCAAATATGTAAGTAGATCAGGGAATGTCTAGGAAGACGCCATCAGGTTTCTCTCTTTTACTTCCTTATGGCATGTGGACTGCTCTGTGCTAACCCCAGGTGCTTTTGTTTTGCTTGTAACCTTTAAGCTGGGCCTCAAGAGAGAGATCTTGATGCTGAATTTTTGTAATAGGCTTTTTGAATTCTCAAAAAAACAAAGTTTCCCGATGTATTTTCTTTCTTGTTGTTTTTTAATAAAATTTACCTTTTGTTAAGAACAGGGCTGGGAGTTTGTGTCCTAAGAGGTTGTGCGCATGTTGTTTCATTGGCTGGTGGCAACAGTTGATTTCCTTTGTTTTCCAGTCTCAGCTCTTCCCGGTGTGTGAAAGGGCTTGAGGGCATCCCACAGGAAGGAATTCCCAATGCGCCTTTCTGGGTTCTCTAAAAAGGGGTTTTTTTGCACTTGGGTGGTGGCAGCATCTCCCCATCCAAGGTCAGAGAGAAGCTGTAACCGTGGGAGTTTGATACCAGCCTGGAATGGCCAATATTAATTTTGTTTGAATCCTTGTGGGTCCCCACCTTCCGCACTCAAAGTGCCGGAGTGGGGAATCAGCCTTGATAGACGGGCACCTGCCCTTTATCCCAGCAGGGTGGAGCTCAGAGGGCTGGGGCAGTACCAGCCTGGGGAGGGGCACCAGGGGCTTCATGGGCTCTGCTCAGGGGGGTACCTCATGTACCACAACCCTGTGGGGGACTCCAATGCTGGACACTGGCTGGGGCGATGGGGGTTCGCATGGTGTGTGTGGGGGAGCAGGTGGGAACCCTGGCCAGGGGACCTTGCTACCTGCAGTTGGGGAGAGCCCATCTCTGCCCCACACTGGGGCCTTTGCTGGGTGCCCTCTTCCCACCCAGGTCGCCCTTCCCTCTGCTGCCATTGCACAGGGCAGTGGTCACGCCCCTCTGGACCCCTTGTACCCATCTGGCCACCCTTGTGCAAGGACGAGGAGTTCAGACCGGCGCAGATGCTGGGACGGGCTGCTGGGCTGTTCGGGCACCATGCATGCCTTGGTCCTGGGTTTGTACAGCACCGAGCACAGCGGGGTCCTGGGCCGGGCTCCTTGGCACTCGGCCATGACAATAATTAATATTGGAGAGCAGGAGACGGGCACAGCTGGGCTCTTTGGCTGGCAGTGCTGGCTGCCCGGAGCAGGGGTGAACGCCAGGGCGGGCACAGAGCTAGTGAAGCGCAAGGACAGTGTTGGCACCAGTGCAGCTGGCCAGGGATCGATGTTTGTCACCCCATGGAGGGGGCAGGTCTGGACCAGCCTCCCAGCAGGAGCAGGGGGGCACAGACTCGAACTGATCTGAGGATGGAGCTGGAGAGGTGGCTGTGGTGAGGGGAGCCGGAGAACCGGGGGGAGCTGCAGGTCTGTGTCTGGAAGCACCATAAAGAATGCCCTGGGGTTGCTCCAGCCCTCCCCTGGTGCCCAAGGCAGCTCCTTTGGGCCCCGTTCTCTGGCACCCAGGAGTGACGCACCCCAAGCCCGACGGCAGCTCTTTGGGCCCAGCCTGAGCCGGCACCGGTGGCTGCACTTGGGACCAGGCCCCTGGGAGCCCGACTGGCCTCTCCCCAGATCCGCAGTCCCACGTTGATGCCAGCCCCCCAGCAGCGCCCCCTAGAGCTAACCCTGTGCTGATGCTCCCCTGGGGCATGGGGGGGCAGCCGCTCTCCAGACAGACACCGGTGCAGTCTCCCGAGCCCAGAAAAACCGGTGATTACCCTGCTGCGGCGTGGGAGGCTTCCAGCCAGGGCCACAGGGAAGGGCTTCCTCTCAGGAAACCAGCCCCCCCGCTCCGACACCCTCCATCTCCTCCAGGCGTCCAGCTCACTGCGGAGCCACTGGCCAGTGCGGCTGTGTCCCGGCAAGCAGGAGATGGAGTGAGCCCCAGAGTCACCTTCAGAGCACGGTAAGGGGGGTGTGCGGGACTCCTGCTCCCATGAGCCGCCATCCCCATTCCCCCCACCCGCTGCCCCTGCCCAGCTCTCACTCCAGCCAGCCAAGGGGCCCAAAGCGCTTCACCAATATCCCCAGATGCCGGGCAGGACCAGTCCCACTGGAGGGAGGAAACTGAGGCACAGGGAGGGGAAGAGAGCTGTCCAGTGTCTCTCAGCAGGTCAGGGACTAAGCCAGGAATCAGAACCCTGGAGTCCTGCAGCTTAACTCCCTGCTTTAACCACTAGACCCCACTTCTCCCCCAGGATTCTGTGTGTCCGTGAGCCTCACAGCAGGGTGCCACAGGGCTGGGGCAGGTTGTGTGGTATGTCAGGATCATTAAGCCACTGTCAGGGATGCAGCAGGGTGCAGAGCCGGTGCTGGGTACGTGCCCTGCTGGCTGAGAGAGCCGGAGCCGGTGCTGGGTACGTGTCCAGCTGATTGGAGTTGTTGGTGCCAGGTGAATGGGAATGAGCCAAGTCTCTGCCCAGCTGCTGCCTTCACCATCCTGGCAAGCCCAACGCAGCCTGGTCCTGGTATGGTCCAAGCAGGGCTCCCCTGACGAGGCAGATGGGCACAAGCCCCGGCAGCAGCCAGCCCTGTGGCGGGAGGTCCCTGATCTCAAGCCAGTCCCTGCGGGGTGGGGCTGGCTCCCCAGCCAGGCTGGACCTACTGGCCTTGTCTTGGTGCTGCATCCCTTGGGGGGGGCCCAGTGGGACTGGGACCCTGGGAAGGGAAAACAGGTCCTCCCCCGTCCATGTGTCTGCTAGGCCATGTCCCTCTGTACCTGCCCAGCCCCCCCTTGCCCACCCCACATCCCCCGTTCCCCATGGCTGCCCCACCCCCACATCCCTCTTCTCCCTCCTCCCATCTGTCACCCATCCCCCCATCCCTCTGGCTCTTGCCCCCCCACCAACTACCCCTCTCTTTTATCTCTCTGCTCCCCTTCCCCCTTCTCTCTCCCAACTTTGCCCATCCCCATCCAGCACCAAAGTACAGTTTGACCCCGGGGAGCCTGAGGCTCAGGGATTCACCCAGGACCCCACAGCAGGGTAGAGGCAGGAAACCTGGCACCTGCCAATCTCATGGCCCTAGGAGGCCAGCCAGTGCCAGCGCCCCTTTGTCACAGGGGGAGAAAAGTCTACAGACGCTTTCTCTGCCGCAGAGCCAAGAATAGAACCCAGGAGTCCTTGCTTCCCACTCTAACCACTAGACCCCACTCCCCTCCCAGAGCCAGGGATAGGCTCCTGGCCCCCCTGCTCTAACCACTAGAGCCTGCTCCCATCCCAGTGCTGGGTTAGAACCCAGGAGTCCCTGCTCCCAGCCCCCCTGCTCTAACCACTAGACCTCAGTCAATGTTCCTCACCATGCAATGTGGCCAGACTCTGCAGGAGTTTGATCCCTGGACCTTTGGACTTTTGCTCCCATGCTGTGCAGAGGGGAACCCCCGCTCGCCCTGCCTTGGGAGCAGAGCTTCCAGGCACATTGGCTTTGGCTGCTGGTAATTACTGTATTACCCTCCAGATGCACTGTCTGCCCCCCTCTCCCTGGGCACCCTGCAAGGTCTCTGTCCCTGGGCTTGTCCGGGGGCCATTCTGCAGCCCCTGCTTCTGTGCTGGCCTCAGGGGGGTGCCTCCTGTCTGTGAGCCCAGAGCAGCCGCTCCTGACAGGGAGGGGTGCAAGGGCGACGGGGGCATGGGTGTGGGGGGGGGGGATTGGGGATGGGGTGGGGGGAGCACATTTGTATTACGATCTGTGATGCCGTATCACCCAGAAGCCACAAATCAGCCCCCGCCCCCCCTGGTGCTAGGTGCTGTACAAACACATGGCAGACAGTTCCTCTCCCGAGGGGCCTCCCCAGTCCTAGCCCACATCTAATCTGCCCCTGTCACTGTCCCCAGAGCCACTCCCATACCCTGTGCCCTGCCCCCGCCCCCAATTGTCGGCTCCGCAGGGCAGGGGTCTCCTTCGTCTCTTGTATGGCTGGAAAGGGGCATCTACTCGCCTGCCAGCCTGATGGCAGGAGCCGGTGCCTCTGCCCCACTGGTGCGGGGTAGCCCAGACTTGCACAGAAAGCTGCCAGCTGGCGTGGCAGTAAGAAGTGAGACAGCTGGGCTCCTTGCAGGCTCTAGGGCGAGGAATACCCCCTCGGCCCCCAGCCAGGGGCTTTCAGCCCCTAGCAGGCCCAACAACCCAAGCCCTGCCGGGCACTTTTCAGCAGAGGCGCCAGGGTGCCCCGAGGGAGCAGGTCTGGAGAATTAACTCCTGTCCCTGATGCAGAGAGGGGCAGGCAGAGGGTCACTGCAGATTGCAAAGCAAGGCAAATGGGGTGGTGTGTGTGGGGGGGAGACCCAGGAGTCCTGTCCCTGTCCCCTGCTCTAAGCCACCACGATAGGTCTAAGTGGCAAAGAACAAACGCTGCAGCCGTGAGTCTCAGACCCCACTCTACAGACCCCGGCTCACGGGGCTCGGACTGTGAGGACAAGAACAGCAGTGTAGTCTGAATCCCAGGGAGGTGGGTGGGGCTCAGAGTCTACACGACTATTTTTAGCCCCATAGCCCGAGTCAATTGACCTGGGCGCTGGGACTCATTGCTGCGAAGTTATTTTTGCAGTGTAGGCATACGCTAGACCCCACTCCTCTCCCAGAGCTGGAGATAGAAGCCAGAAGTCCTGACTCCCACGCCCCTGCTCTGACCACTAGACCCCACTCCCCTCCCAGAGCCGAGGGTAGAACCCAGGAGTCCTGGCTCCCACGCCCCTGCTCTGACCACTAGACCCCACTCCCCTCCCAGAGCCGAGGGTAGAACCCAGGAGTCCTGGCTCCCACGCCCCTGCTCTGACCACTAGACCCCACTCCTCTCCCAAAGCTGGAGATAGAACCCAGGAGTCCTGGCTCCCATTCCCCTGCTCTGACCACTAGACCCCACTCCCCTCCCAGAGCTGAAGATGGAACCCAGGAGTCCTGGCTCCCCAGCTCTTTCTAGAGCTGCGAGACCCCAGTCCTTCCTCCTGCGGACTTGAGCCCTGTGTGCTGCGGTCCGCTGCCCCCTCCCCGGCTCCTGCCCGGGCTGCCAGCTCAGCGCAGAGGGAGCCAGCCCCGTTTCCTGCCGTCTGCAGCCCTCCGGCCTGGGGGTCATTTCCTGGTCTCAGTCGGCGCCTCCGGAGCTTGGGGATGTGACTCACGGGCTCCCTGCCCCCCAGGGTCCCAGTGCCATGCCAGCAGGGCTCCTGTCCTGCTGCTGGGGGACAGCCTCTGGGCAGGGCTCCTAGCCTCAGGACCTGTGTGGCCCTGGGCACAACAGGTGCTCTGCCCATTGCTGGCCTGGGCACAGCTGGCGTCTGAGCCAGGCAGGAAGCTGCAGAGGGGCGACCTGGCTTCCCCTTTGTCTAGAGGCCTCCATGGGGCACCCCAAGGTGTTGAGCCCCACGGGGCTGTGGTATGTGCGTGTGTGGGGGGCTGCAATTGTGCCTGTTAGACACAAACAGGGGGAGACATGGCAGAGTTTCCGCCGTTCGATCCCTGGGTGTGTGCTGGAAAACGGGTTCGCTCCGTGTCGTCCCCCCCCCCCACACACACACACTTGGTGTTTCCCCGGAGAGCTTTGCTGGCCTCTGGGCAAGTCCGAACAAGGAGAGTTCCTGCCCCACAGGCTTGGCTGGGAGCTCTGGCAGGCCTTGGGGGGAAGCAGAGCCTGGAGTGCTGCCTGCCCCGATCGCAGGGCGCAGATGTGGGGCCTACGCTGCCTACGTTATGGTATGGCCGCGGCAGCGCTGTGACGTGGGCAGTGTCCTCACGCTCCATTGCCGGGGGCAAGCTCTCCCGGCGATCAAAAATAATCACCCCGAACGAGGGGGGGGGGTCGCTGTATAGCCATAAAGCGCTGTCCATGTTGCACGGGGGGGGTGCTTTTTCACACCCCCGAACGACTAAAGTTTTAGTGCCGAAAGTGGCCGTGTGGACACAGCCTTAGCTCCAGGGACGGGCAAGAAGGGGCTGGGAAGGGCTTGTCCTTCCCTAGGCTCCTCGCTGTTCACCAGCTGGGTTTTCTAAGTGCTCTAAAATCCACCGGCTGACTTGATGGCTGTGATCTATGGGTGCAGGCGGGTCCCTACCCAGCTCTGGCGGGGGAGTGGGGTCTAGTGGTTAGAGTGGGCAGAGACCTGGAGTCAGGACAACCGGGTTCCTTTCTTGGCTTAGGGAAGTGGGGGCAATTGGTTTTAAAGGAGGAGGGCTCAAAGCCAGGACTCCTGGGTTCTGGCCCCAGCTCTGACAGCAGCGTGGGGTCTGGTGGTTAGAGTGGGGGGCTGGGAGCTCCAGCTCTGAGAGGGGAGTGGTCCCAATCTGGGGTTCTTGGAGCCAAGCGTTCCCAAGAGATGGCGCCTTGTGGCAAAACAGAAAGGACACCAGGGTTCTGCAGATCTTATCACGCCTGTGTGCACACCCAGGGCTCAGACTCTGGCTCCGACCCTCCCCTGTGAGGAATTCAGGCCTCGTCCAGACTGCCCCTGGGACGCTCTCCGGATATGGGCACCCGAATGTGGGGAGATGACCCTGCAGCGTGGCCCCACTGGAAATCAGCCAAGGTCCCAGTCACCTGCACCCCAAATTGAGGGCCCCTTTGGATCTGGGGGCAGCTGAGGCTGGCTCGGCTGGGGGCTGTGCTGGCGTCAGTGAGGCTTCTCCCCTCCAGGGCATGTAGGGCATTCCCATTTGTGGGGCTCAGGTACCAGTGATGGGCCCTACGCTCCCCGCCCCCCACCAACAAACACCCACACAAGGGGGAGGTGAGAGCAGCTGGAGACAGCTTGGCTGAGGGGTGGGGGATTGGGAGCACCCAGGGACTCGCAGCAACTGTAGCCGACCCCTGACGGGGGGGCGTGTCTGGGCGCAGATGTGCGTACATGAGCGTGTGGCATGTTTGTGCTTGTGCCCTGGGCATGTCCACATGAGCATAAATCTGTGTCCATGCAT